ATTAACGATAATGTTATATTATTTAATCTCCTTTTGTTTTCTCTGTGTAGGTCATATGTGACAGTAAGAATTTAAGAGTTAAAAAAATTACTTTCACTCTTTCCATCGTTTCCTAATTCGATTTCCATTCAAATTTAAATCGTAACTGTTAATCAATCGATCGGGTTTAATGTGGTTCTAAGCCGTTCTTAATTTTTTACGACCGGTTTAATGCCTTAGCCATAAAACCATTTTGTCTTCCCAAATCTAAAACAGAACTCCAACAAAATTATTATTATTATTATTATTATTATACTTTATAATCATAAAATAAATTATTATTATTATTAAGTCTTAATCATCCCAATCGCGAAAAGAAGAATTCCCTTAAACTTGACAAGAGATGTTGTGATGGGATTACTCAGCATTGCATTTGGATTTACAAACATAACCTTTCATAAGTTGTTGGGTCCCAATAAATAGAAACCATAACAGTGTGATCGTACTCTTGGCCATGTCGACAAGAGTATGAATGGTCAATTAATGTTGATACTAAATACTCATCACTGTTGTTTAAATTGATGCCATTTAACGTGATGATTTTTTTTTAAAATAAAATTATGTAAATTAAAAAGATTATAATTTTTTTAAAAAATAATATTATAGTGTTTTTGATGCATAAAAAAACACCATAAATGAGTTATATAAAAATATCATAACAGTTAAAAATAATAAAATCAGTGAAAATTTTGACAAAAAGATAGATTTAAATTAGAGATATTATTTAAAAAATTAAAAGAGGGATACCCTTTAGAAAATACATAAAACATGGATATTTTCTAGCCCAAAAAAATTCTCTTATAGATAAATCACATATTGTTCTCCATGAAATAAAAAAAGATAAATCACAAAAAAAAAAACCAATTTAAGTCAATTTATTGTTTTGTTATCCATATTTAATTATTATAGGAACCCCCATGTGAAAATTTAATTGCAAGAGGACTTGCATGCAAAAGGACCAATATGGCAATATCATCGGACGGAATCACCGCAACACGTGCTATTCTCGTGATCGACTACAACTAATGCCCTAAGCCGCCACCGACTGTTTGTGCCGGCCGCCCGAAACCCTAAATCTTTTCTTCTTCTCGTTGATTTGACGGTTCCCTCGAAGAGCCCCTGTACCCGCGCACGCATCGTTGTGCTTTGCATCTGTTTTCCTCAGGTAGACATCTATTTCGAGCGCTCAAATGGTTCTTCTGTTTTATAGCGATCGTCTGTTTCTATAATTTATTTATCTTCTTCTTTGGAGTATAAGGTCTAGGATTTCGAGAGATGTCGGACGACGAAGCAAGGGAGGAGAAGGAGTTGGATCTCACCTCCCCCGATGTCGTCACCAAGTACAAGAGCGCCGCTGAGATCGTCAATAGTAGTGTTCCCGACCCGTTCTTTAGATTCTTTCTTTCGGTGTGTATGATGCTGGGAAATGTTGCTTCTAAGAGCTAATTGTTTGCCCCGTGCAGAGGCCCTTCAGCTGGTGGTATCGGAGTGCAAACCCAAAGCCAAGATCGTTGATCTCTGCGAGAAAGGCGACGCTTTTATCAGAGAGTATGTATTTCTTGTTACTCATCGTCTTTTCTACTTCGGTATAT